AGCTGCCTGCTTTTCTGAATTTTAAAGTACGGTAGCAGGTGGTGTACAAATATGTGGGTTCAGTGAGGGGATGAGGTCATCTTGCACAGGTCTAGCTGATAGGATAGAATCTTCCTTCTGTTCAACTAGACATTATCTAAGCGCTATTAAGTTAGGGCAGAAACAGCTCTCACTGCCGTATGTGTGGCCACGATCCATGCAGCCCCCGGGAGAGTTTATTATCAGTGTAGCTGAAATGCTGTGCTCTGGGCTTCCAAATCCTGTAGATAATCAATAGGCTGCCTGGACCTCTTAAAAAGGAATAGTGAGCAATTCTGACGGTGGGAGCCAGCCTCCTCCCCTCTCCCTCCAAGAGATAGGCCTTTCTCTTTTAAGTTCTTGAGACTACGCTGGTAATATCTCCCATGTCAACTCATAGATCAAATCAATTTTATATGCAACCAAACACACAGGGATTCTTATCAGTCATCTCATGGAAAGAATCTAGAGACAAGCCAGGTACTTCACTGATTTTACAGACCTTTTACCTTTGTGCAGGGAGTCCTTGAGAGTTAAGTGAAATCTTAGGAGGAGCTTTTTCTGAAAGAAGCTTTGGTCTAATTAAGAAGAGATAGGCACACGTGGTAGGTAGAGAGTAACTCCTTTGGATTCTTGTATATTATGTATGTAGTCCTCTCCATTCATACGTGCTCTCTGGACTTCAGAGACTGGGGTTAGAATGGAATTGTTTTAGATGCTGTTGTTATTACAAAAGGACAGTTCTTTTTTAGTTGATTCCTATTAGTGTCCTCTTATCATCCTGCCCCATGAAGCATGGCGTGGATCTGTAGTTCTGCACTAAAGTGCTCGGTTGGAACCAGCTCAGCATTTGCCTGTTTACTGCTTCTCTACACATAACAGCTTCCCTACTTCAAATAGTGTTTGAACAGACTAAAAACATGTTTTTGGCTTTCATCCAGAGTTTGGCTTCCACTTCCCCAGTAATGCCATAAAAATGCTCTGTCAAATAAATTCTCGGGAATTGAAAAGAACAAATTCTCTGCTCCATATGATTGTAGATAATAGAAACAGGCTTCAGCTGACCACCTGGCTTGATGCCCATGGACTAGGAAAACCAAATCACACAGCATCCCTTGGCACTGCTTTATAGCTATCAGAGTTAATTCTGTGCATGTAATGGATGAGCTTTCTGTTTAAAGAAATCTGCACATAGCATTTGTTTCCACTGGGTCTTTTGGGTTCCCTAAAATAGTGTCTTTCCTTATCCTGCACTGTTGCCAATTAGTATATATTATAAAGTTTTTGGACCTAGGATTAATTTTCTATTGAGTAAATTTCAAGCTGTTAACCATGAACAGAATCCTTCTATGATTTTGGGTTGTGTGTGTGTGTGTTTTGAGAGCAATGTTTCCTGCCTCGGCCTAGATATTGTAGTATCCTTATTATTCAGGACCCTAGCTGGAAGGAGATGGCACATTCAAATTAGGATGATTTAGGGAGGTTTATATATAGAGGGGCTATTTAAAAATGTGTGAATTGGGGTAAGGGTAACACAAGTGATAGTGTGTAACCCAGTGGAGCCGCTGGCCCTGGACCAGAAGAAAAGGAAAGAAAGAACCTAGAGATGAAGAGTGTCATATAGAGAAGGCTGCCTTCAGGATGGTCTGCACAGAGAAAGGCATGGTCTGGCAGTCCAAAGCCACTCATCTCTTCCCTACATCTAATTTCTTGTCAGGGGTCCCCCTTGGCTGAACCCAGTCAGATGCCAGAAGGTGCAGAGGTACCTATGATTTGGTTCCCATAGGTCAGCTTCCCAGGGCAGAGAGCAGGACAGAAGCAGAATGTGCATTTGGAAGGCAAGTAGAAGGCGTCTGGCACATATCTTAGTGGAGGTGTCCAGTGATTTCTAGGAAAAGCATAGACATCTTTTTTTTTTTTTAAGATTTTATTTATTTATTTGAGAGAGAAAGCATGAGAGAGCAAGTGAGCAGGGGCAGGGGAGGGGAGGAACAGAGGGAGAGGGAGAAGCAGATTCCCAACACAGTAGGGGTCTCCATCCCAGAACTCTGGGATCATGACCTCAGCTGAAGGCAGATGTTTCACTGACTGGGCCACCCAGGCTCCCCAAAGGCATAGAAATCTTAATAGAAAACTTAAACTCACTTTATTTTTAAATAGCTTTATTGATATGTGATTGACATGCAATAAAGCACACATATTTAAGTATACAGTTTGATAAGTTTTGATATGTATACACCTGTGAAACCATCACCACAATCAAGGTAGTGAACATATCCATCGCCTGCAAAATAATCCCATTTTAATTTCACATTTAAGATATTTTATATGGTTCTTATAAAAACATATGGAAAGACACAAGTAAATGAAGCAATGGCAAGCGCAACTCCAAAGTGCCGGAAAGATCCACAGAAAATGAAATTCAAGGCAATGTCAAAGCTTATGAGAAAGCTATTCAATAGTAGCTTATTGTAAATTTAAAAAAAAGATTGTGAGTGTAAATTTTTTTTTGTCTTCCCCTTTATATCTGTTTATTGCCATGCATTTAACTGCAATAAAAATATGTGAATCTGGTCTGTGTAAGCCAGTTTTTGAACTGAGAAAATCAGTGATTAATCAGTATTCAGTAGTGCCAGCAGAACTATAGAGGGGTAGTTCCAGTATACAGTTTATGTCGTGTTCATATACACCACAGCCAGCTGCTGGGCAGGTCCAGACTTGCTCTCTGTAATGCCACACCATCTCTCAAGAAAGCAAAGCGAAATGTAGTGGGGAAGGCTTGCTATGTTATTAATAACAATGCTTACAGTTCTTACTGTGGCACTTGTTGAATGTGGGGTATGTCTTTGGAGATAGAACAAGGATGGGATTTAATTCCTGAGCTTTATGCATTCTGCTTTAAATGATAAAAGCCAGTAAATCATTTGCAAACACACTTTTACCATTTATTAATAATTGCTGGCTACCCACAATAACAGCTGATGGAGGCCAGAGAGTTGCAGTTTGCGTTGAGAACTGGCCCTCTCAGTCTTCTGTGTTCCCAGGGCTCCATTTATTTTAGGGAAATCAGGAGTACCTAGCCTTTCCAGGGAAAGCTGTGTCCCGTGCAGAGTTGGATATGACACCCTACCCCCACTTTGTACAAAGGAAAGTACCTTCCTGTCTAAGCCAGGACAAGGAGAAGAGGTGTGAGGTTTGCAGGGAGTGGCTGCGCAGGCCAGACCAGAAGCCCCTGGGGACTGTCCTGGTTGTGCCCCAGCAGGGGGTGGCTTGGCACCCATCAGCACAGGAGCTGTGACAGGGCCACACTGGCTTCCATGCTGGCCTTCAAACTCATCCGGCAAGTTCAGGTCTCAGGGCCCTTGCACTTTTTAAAACATTTTTATTTGTTTATTTATGAGAGACAAGGAGAAAGAGGGAGAGACACAGGCAGAGGGAGAAGCAGGCTCCCTCTAGGGAGCCTGATGTGGGACCCAATCCCAGGACCCCAGGATCACCACCTGAGCCGAAGGCAGATGCTCAACTGCTGAGCCACCCAGACATCCCACCTTTGCACTTTTTTATTTCTTAGGCCTAGATTATCCTTGCCTCATATTTTTGCAAGGCTCTCTTACTCTATCACACGATTCATATTGCTGCCCAAATAGCTCCTTTCTTTTGCCACCCTCTCAAAAAAATCACGTCTGTCACCATCTCCCTGTCCTGCTTTATTTCTCTCATTGCAGGGACCACTATTGGACATTATAACATCAATTCTCAACCTTTTTGGTCTTAGGACCTCTGCATGTGCTTAAAAATTATTATAGACCCCAAAGAGCTTATGTTTCTGTGAGTTATACCTTTCAAAATTCATCGTATCAGAAATGAAAATAGAAATTTAAAAATACTTTTGTTCATTGAAAAACAGCAGTAATAATCCCAATACATGTTAACATAAATAACTTATGAAAAATAACTATATTATCCAAAATAAGAGAATTATCTGAGAAGAGTAATATTGTTTTGTGTTTTTGTATGTGTCTTCTATTAATAGAAGATAGCTAGGTTGTTATAATCTGTTGTAATATGTTATTTTGGTAAAAGTTGTAAAGATCATCTGGCCTCAGGTGGTTAAAAAAGGGAAGGATCATTTTAATAGCCTTTTCATTGTGGATATTCTATTTTAATATCACACCAGATGCAACAAGGGATCATTTCTTAAAGGACGGTTGTTGTGTGGTCCTTGCACCCTGGGCATAATTGTGTAAACCACTCCCAACAGGTGGGTCAGATGGCTGCTTTTTTTCCCCATAAGAAAAAGTTGGTCACTGACTTATGAAATTATGGTTTCCATAAAGTGGAATAAGAAAAGCAAATCATTACTTTCATTAGATTTTTAATAACCCTTAAAAAATCACCAAATCTTGAAAGGTTACAGAAGCTCCTTCCAAACCAAACACTCACATGCACAAAAATTGGAATACTTTTTCCTTTGTAGATCCATGCATCATGTTATGGTTCCTTTCCTTTGAGGTAGAAAGTGAAATCTTAAGTTAATGGTTTCTAACATAATTCCTTGATAAATATTTGTTGAAATATCTAGTGTTTATTAGAGTGCTTTTATTCATTTTTTCTAATCCTGTTTATGATCCAGTACCTTATTTGGGTAAGTGAGTAAAGTGCCATTCAGAAGTGTCCTTAAACTGGTACAGGAATAGAATTAAACCGTCAGGTCTGCCAATGTGTTCAAAAAAATAAGGAACCAAGGGCACTTGGGTGGCTCAGTGATTGAGTGCATGACCCCGGGGTCCCGGGATCGAGTCCTGCGTCGGGCTCCCTGCATGGAGCCTGCTTCTCCCTCCTCCTGTGTCTCTGCCTCTCTCTCTATGTCTCTCATGAATAAATAAATAAAATCTTTTAAAAGAAAAGTAAACAACCACTCTATCTGCTTGTTCAGGATGTTTCAGATCATCTATATATAATTTCATGTTTATCTCTTTAAGATCCACACAGGTTTACAACACCAAATAATCTGGCCCTGTCAGCCCAGCTGCGTCCCTCTGGATGAAAAACTCCTTCCCCAGCTTCTAAAAGAAGCAGGCTACACTACCCATATGGTCGGAAAGTGGCACCTGGGAATGTACCGGAAAGAATGCCTTCCAACCCGCCGAGGATTTGATACTTACTTTGGTAATGGAAATGCACATGTTCGTTTTACAACTTAGCCTAGCTGCAACTGTCTCATAAAACACACCCCAATGTAATCAAATGAAATAACTGGAAACTTGAACACAGAATGAATCAGCCAGCACTGCTGTGGGCAGCTTCCTAGGACCACCTCCACGCCCGGCTCTGCTCAGCACAGGGTGGGCAGCCGCCACAGGGGGCACTTCCCTTTGCCAGCGTATTAAATGCCATGTTGGGGCCTTTGAAGATTTGCTATCTCCACATCTGAGACTGTAGTACTTGTGGAGAACCTTATTACCAAAAGGGCATACAGCTTGATTTTTCAGAAATTTCAGGCAAAACTCAATACAAGAATATTTCCTTCACAAAGGTTCAGAATATTGTTTTCTCTCCATGGACTTTCCCACAGATTTCTTTTTTTTTTTTTTTCTGGAGATGGTAGAGGAGACTCTTTTCTACTGGCATCCTTTTCCCCTTCTGTGAGATCTGTTTTTGAAATCACTAGATTGGGGAAGACCAGTCAAAAAAATAAAAGGGGAGAGTCGATAACAAATAGTAATAGGAAGAATAATAAGAAGTAAATGGTTTAGGGACTTGATAGTCCTTAAAAATGTGAACCCTGAAGTTAGTTTTAAAACTTACCCTCTTTTAACCTCTTACAAATTATGTCTTAATTAACAGCCTATTTATTTTACTAGTGACTGTGTCTTTCTGATGAGTTCTTTTCCTACTACACTATCTGGCTATTTAGCTACCTACGTACTTCTCATTTGTCTCTTCATTTATTTACAACCTGCTGCATCTGAAAAGGAACTCATGCTGAACTTAAAAAGTTTAAAAATAAATAGAGGGTACCTGGGTGGCTCAGTCAGTTAAGTGTCTACTTTGGGTTTAGGTCATGATCTTGGGGTGCTGGGATCAAGCCCCACATCTGGCTCCCTGCTCAGTGGGGAGTCTGCTTCTCCCTCTGCTCCTCCCCCCTGCTCAGACTCTCTCTCTTTCACTTTCCTTCTTCCTCCCTTCCTCTCTTTTTCTCAAATAAACAAAATCTTAAATAGAATAAAAAATCAGGGTGAGTAGAAAAAGATGGAATTGTAGCATGGCACCAAATTATGAAAAAACTGCATGGCTGTAGGTGGGATTCACACTGAACTCTGTAACTTGAGAATTCTCATGTCCAAATTTTTAAAAATTTTAAAAAAGGAGACAGCTATAAGAGTCACATTATTTATAAGATAAATGGAAACCAGATGTTCAGGAAGGGTAAAGCATTTTCTGGCTCTTAGACTTGAGAAATTTCTCCTTTGGGAGAAGGTAAGGTGGACAGCATCCTCAAAAACAGCATTTTAGTAATAAAGTGGTGGTTTTCTTGTACATTTGTCTTGAGACATTCCTTTTCATTTAGAGTTGTGCAACTAGCCCCACAATCCTCTGACTGCTTTTTAACAGAGCATCTAAGTCATAACTTTCAAGAGCACCAAAGTGCATTTTAGTGATTATATGGGGCCCAGATGATGCAGTCGAAGCCCACAGTTGTGTCATGCTGTGTTGGGTCCAGTGTCAAGTTGAGATGCAAGGACATCAGACAGGAGGCTGTATGTGCCTCACTCCCATCCAGGTCCTCTAGCAGACATTGCTAAGCAATCATGGCATTCTTTCTTAATGAACCTGACTATATCCTCCACATCCTCAAATAACTGTTAAAGTCAGACTTGGGTGTAAGAGCTCTTTGTCATTTTGCAAATTCTAGAGGAAAAACAGCCTGTATATCTCTTGACAATTTTCAATTAGACCTTTGCTGAAAGATAGATATCAATACTTGTACTCTGGCAAGTGTTAAAAAACAGCTTTAGACTATAGACTATAGCTATTTTAATTTTCTTTTCTTTTCTTTTCTTTTCTTTTCTTTTCTTTTCTTTTCTTTTCTTTTCTTTTTTCTTTCTTTTTTACTAAAACCCAAGTCACATATTTAAAAATTCAATTGGCTAGAAGAAAATCATATCCTTTTATAAGAGTTGAGAAGCCTGAGGATTGAGATGAACAAACACCCCACACCCCACACCCATATAGACTTGTAGTTGGAGGGGATAATGACCATGCAGCTGTTATCACTGTTAGGACTTACATGTTCTGTTTAAAAGCAGTCAGATGATTGTGGGGCTGGTTGCACAACTCTGAATACCTTAAAGACCACTGATTTGGACACTTTAAGTAGGTAACTTATATGGTATTGTGAATTAGACCTCAATAAAACTGTTAAGCAAAAATGTCAGAGATTTAGTTGTTCAAAAAGTATGTTCTGATTTTTCCCCAGTATAGCATAGGATGCCATCTTCTTTTAGCTCATCATGTAAGTTCAAATTTGTGAAGCCCTGTTTGAGAAAAGCTGTATGTGATTGCCACATGGTTGTTTGGTATCAGTCTGGCTAAATATGTAAATAAATAGTTCTATTCCTGGAATTCTCCTTTGGTGATATCTTTTTAAATATTTATAGTTAAAAATTTTTTTTAAAAGTAGCCTCCATGCCTAGCATGGAGCCCAATGTGGGGCTTGAACTCACCACCCTGAGATCAAGGCCTGACCTGAGATCAAGAGTCAGACACATAACCTACAGAGCCACGCAGGCACCTCTACAGTTTTGTATTCTTTTAATCAAGTATATCCTATGCTTATATTCTCTCAAGTAATGGAAAACAATTTACATTTACAGAGAAATAAACGGAAGTGATTTCCTCAAGCTCTTAATACCCAGGAGTTATTAAAAATTCCAGAAGAACCCCAGTGTCCTAACTTCTCTAATCATCCATGTAAGGCCTAAGATCACTTTTATGGATACGTTTCTCTCTCTATTATATATTAATTAACAAATATATTTGATTTCCCTTTTTGTTATATACATCAGGGGAAAAGATTACCATTTAAAATGTGATCTGGGGCACACAGATGGCTCATTCGGTTAAGCCTCTGACTCTTAATTTTGGCTCAGGTCATGATGTCAGGGGTCATGAGATCAAGCCCCACATCTAACTCCACACTCAGTGAGTAGTCTGCTTGAGATTCTCTTCCACCCTCTAAAATAAATTAATTAAATTTTTAAAAAAGTGGTCTTAGACCAAGGTATTCATTATATTCAGGACTTTGAATTTATTGAATCGTGGAAAAGGAGGAAATTAATTAAAAATGAATTCATTTTTTATGTAAACTGCGTAAGGCTTTTGATTGGTATTATAGAGGATGCTTAGGACTGAAGAAAGGGCTAGGCCAATTTTATCCACCTCATTTTAAGGTTAATAAACATTATTTGTTAGGAGATGCTTCAGAGTCCAGCACAGCTTATTTCTTTTTAATAGCTTTATTGAGGTATAACTTACACACCATCTAACTCACCCAACTAACGTGTACAGATTATTGATTTTTAATAAATACACAGGGTTGTGCCACTGTCATTACAATCCAATTGTAGAATATTTTCAGCACCCCCAAAAGAAAATCCATCTCTGTTAGCAGTCACTCCTGATTTTCCCCAAACTTCACCAGCACTAGGCAACCACTAACATATCTTTTTGTCTCTACAGATTTCCCTATTCTGGATATTACATATAAATGGAATAATACAATATGCAGCACAGCTTATTTTAATATTTTAGGAAAATATACAACATTTGCAGAAACCACTTTAGCTGAGAAAACCCACTTCCTTTCATGTTTATATTCAAATTGTGGGCTAGGCAGTTGATGTCATTTACATTTCGGGCAAAACTGTATTCAGGGTTGTAGACAAATCTGCTTTCAGTGCCCCACGTTAGTTTGATCTGCTGGCTCTGTTAAATTATGTCTAGAGCTCCTCTTTGGTAAGGTTTGTGTCTTCCACCAGTGGGTGTCAGCATCTGACTAAAGATGATGATTTCTCCTAGAGCTGCTACTATAAATAACCTTGAAGCCAGTCTCCCAAGGTCGGTATCAACATTATTTGAATCCTGTGTTCATTTATGTGATTACCTCAGAGAAATCACATTGACTGTGTGCTATTTTTGCCATTAGATAGCTTTAAAACATTAAGATTTTATCACCTTTACTGAATTTGAACTCATTTTTTAAAATGGATTTACTTAGAATCACCTACTTTGAGAGTTACATGACAGAGCCTTGTGTTCCGAAGACTTGACTGAGGAGTGGATTTGAATTTTTTTTACAATAACATTTTAATGCCTCCTGCTAGCAAATATAGAGATGTTAAGAAGTGGTGCTCTGATTAGCCTTGTCATTTGATTAGCCTTGTCATGGGTAATCAATTGCACTGGGCAATTAAATGCTGAAACATTAGTTTGTTTAACAAGTTTTATGCTATGCTGACTACTTTCATCTCCCATTCATGTTGTAGGATATCTCCTAGGTAGTGAAGATTACTATTCCCATGAGCGCTGTACATTAATTGATGCTCTAAATGTCACACGATGTGCTCTTGATTTTCGAGATGGTGAAGAAGTTGCAACAGGATATAAAAATATGTATTCAACGAACATATTTACTGAAAGAGCTACAGCCCTCATATCTAACCATCCACCAGAGAAGGTAAGCCTTTCTCTTTTATTGATATCAAAATGGTGTTAAGATATACTGCAGGTGAGTATAGGAAAAGGCTGCTTGTTTAGGAGAAGATCTAAAAAATTCTAGGGGAGTTGTGTTCGAATTTTGGAGTATATTGGTATCTGCTTGGGGAAGCTTGATAAAAGTAGAAATTTCTGGAGCCCCTCTCTGAAAGTCTGATTCCTTAGGTCTGGGGGAAATCCATACACCAGAATTCTAATTAATTAATTAATTGATTAATTAATTTTTGTTTATTTATTTATATTTATTTTTAACACAAATCTTGAAGTCACAACCCTGAGATCAAGACCTGAGCTGAGATCAAGGGTCAGATGCTTAACTGATGTATGATGTATGATGTATGGGATGATGTATGGTGTATGATGTATGGGAGCAACCCAGCTGCCCCATACATCAGCATTTTAAAGAAACTCTTTAGGGGTGATTCTGACACCATGTGGTCCCCAGATTGCATTTTGAGGAATACTGTTTCTACAGTGTTTTAGTAGAAATATAGTTTTATTATTTTGGTGCATTTTATGTGCTGTAAGTGATTAGTACATTGACTTTTTTTAAATGATAGGCTCATGTACAAGATGAGGCTGTAGTATGGCAAACTTTCTGTTAAGAGATCGACAGACTTTGGATTTAGCACAAGTCTTCTTTGTGTTTGGCCTCCCTAGGTTATTTTGGCTATTTTTGATATTTTGCATTCCCATGTTAATTTTAGAATCACCTGGTCAATTTCTACCAAAAAGTTGCTGCTTGGATGTGGATTTCCTTGCCTCTGTAGACCAACATGGGGAGAATGTATGTCTTAACAATATTAAGTCTTTCACTCCATAAACATGGTATACTGATGAGCTTATTTTTCACATTTACTGCATTGAATCCATTGTATATGTCATGTACTGAAATCTTTTGACTTATCTCAAGGTAAAATAGAAAAGAGTGTGAATTGCCTTAAACATTTTGTTGTTGTTGTTGTTGCTGTTGTTAATCTAGAGTTAGCTTCATAAGCTAAATTCTCTGGATACACCTTTGAAATTGGGTCACATATTTGTGTTGTCACATACTGGGCTCAAATGTGGCTTCGTTAAGAATTGCATTAGCACACTGATGAAATGAGTCCTTCAATAAGACCCTGATAGGGTGAACTACAGAATGTGCAGTATTATCTGGTACTTCCAGTTTTCTCTACTTTTTTCTTTGACAATTACTGAATGGCCTCAGAGCAGATCACAGTTTGGATTTAGATTAATATACCTGTTTAGACGTGGTACCTGGCAGCTGACTCCCTTTTTGACATGGTTTCTTCCTGGCTGTGCCTTTGCCTGTTCTAACTCAGTATTGGGGGTCTTCCCTGGTACCCATCCTCAGTTTTGCCCCACTTTGGGCTTTTTATCACTCTTACATGCTGCCTTCTTGGAGTAACTATACATCTGGTGGAAAATGGAAGATCAGAACATCTCTCAAATATGTGAACATATGCAGGTTTTATTTTTATTTTTATTTTTTTTTAAATTTTATTTTTATTTTATGATAGTCACAGAGAGAGAGAGAGAGGCAGAGACACAGGCAGAGGGAGAAGCAGGCTCCATGCACCGGGAGCCCGATGTGGGATTCGATCCTGGGTCTCCATGATCGCGCCCTGGGCCAAAGGCAGGCGCCAAACCGCTGCGCCACCCAGGGATCCCTATGCAGGTTTTAAATCTAGATCTAAACCGGAATGCCTGGTTGGCTCAGTTAGTTAAGCATCTGCCTTTGGCTCGGGTCGTGATCTTGGGGTTCTGAGATCAAGCCCCACATTGGGAGAGCCTCTGCTCCTCCCTCTTCTGTGCCACTCCCCCCTGCTTGTGTGTGTGTGTCTCTCTCTCAAATAATTAAATAAAATCTTAAAAAAAAATCTAGATCTAAACCAATATTGAGAGAGTTGGAAAGATAGCTGCTGGGTATTTGGCCTAGGTTCTGTTTTCCTCTGTATGCTTGGTATTCTATAGATAGTGCTAAAAGCCCAAAGAACAAGATAAAGTCTTAAGGGAATTGTGGTTCCTGTCCTATCCTTTGAGTTATGCACCCTTTTACAGATAAGCAAGCAAGAAATTTGTTCAAGGTCACAGAGCTACTTAGAGTCCAAATCAGAATTTAAACCCATGTTGTTTGACTCCAGAGCTCAATGCACTCAACACGCATCCTGAGTTTACAGCTAATATCCAAGACTAGAGATTATTAGCCTCGGTGTATGATTCAGCTTGATGGTTCCAGTCTTGACAGTATATTGGGCTCATCTGGAAACCTTGTAATAAAGATCGGTAACAAATATTGTGATTTATTGGTGCCGGTGTGGGGAGGTGTCATTGGTATTTAATGACCCTTCTGCCCCCACCTTTCTCTCACCAGTGATTCTGAGGTGCAGCCACTATTGACTCCCTTCAAACACACAGAGGACAAGCTCAGGCCAACTGCCTTTTACAGGCTTACAGTAAAACACTACCTTAATCATGTAACAACTGTAATATGCCTACAGCAAAAGTTAGTTCCCATTAGGCAACAATAGAGTATTCTCTCACAGTGCCTGTAACATTAAGTGGATAAGAGGAAGCAGCTGGGTGAAGTAGTTCTTTGTGGGTGGGCTGCCTTATCTGGTGTGGTGTGGAAAACACAGGAACTGTGGGAAGTGAGTCCCTAAGAGCTTGCAAGCCATCCAAATTTGTGTTAGTAATATAGTACTGCTCATAGGTAGCATTGTGGGAATTTCCAGATGACAGGATGGTCATTTTCTGACAGTGTCTAAAACGTTCTGAAGCAGTGTCCAGCGTGCCCAACAGCCTCAAGGTCAAATTTCAAGAGTAGATAAATGCATGAAATAATCGGTACAGAATAACAGCCCCAGAGTGTTTGTTTAAGATAGCAAATGCAGACGTTTACATTTTCAGTTCTTAGTAAACTGATGCATCATCACATAGTTCCAGGAGCTGAGCTTTTCCTCATTTTATCCCAATGTTGACTCACTGATTCCATACTAATTTCTTAGGTGCTATATATAGACTATAACATAGGCCACTTGTCCTAAGATGGAAATCATTAAAGAAATACACATGAAGTATTCACAGGCCATCTTAAAAATGTGCCTATTTTAAAGAGCACTTGAAGGGAAAAGAGCATATGGAGCAATTTTGTAATAGAAACATTTGGTGCTGGATTCAGGGAGATACTGCTAATAGCCACTGCACACATGTTGGGAAGGAATGTCTTTTTTTTTTTTTTTCTCCAGGATAAATCCCTCAGTACTAACACTACAGTATAAAAGCAACATGTCCACAAAATATTGTTCAGTTAAAATAGTCCCCCCTCAACACTTTGCAGAATAAAAATAAATGTTTTCTCATAAACCTAAATCTACTAGAAGCTTCTTAAAGCAAATGTGAATTTCTAGTGGTAGACACTTTTTTCCTGACACAGTTTGGGAAGAAATGTCTTAGTTTGAAAGTCAGTAGAGCAATAGAGCAATAATTTAAAACTGCATCACATATTTTTGAAATTTTTGCTTTAAAAAAAAAGAAATTTTTGCTTTAAATTAGGAAAATATACTAAAGAAATAAAAGTAAGGCTTTCTTCCTCACTGGAATTAGGTTTCTTAGCATGGTGAGGATATTTAGAGTATATATCTTAGGAATCGTACGGCATAATAAGAATGGGAGAAGAAGGGCAGCCTGGGTGGCTCAGCGGGTTAGCTCTGCCTTCAGCTCAGGGTGTGGTCCTGGAGACCCGGGATCGAGTCCCACGTCAGGCTCCCTGCATGGAGCCTGCTTCTCCCTCTGCCTGTGTCTCTGCATCTCTCTCTCTCTCTGTGTGTGTGTGTGTCTCTCATGAATAAATAAATTAAATCTTTAAAAAGAAAGAAAGGGAAAAGAACTTTCAGCATCTTACCAATATGCTAGTAACTTTAGGTAGTAATGTCATAGGGTTGTATAATACTTAAACATTTGGTCATGCTTCACATCTAGGATTCTGTTTTAAATTCCAAGGAAACCTGAAAGTATTAGAGTTGGTCTAAAGGTGGTGCAGCTGTAACTGGCGTGGTCAGAGCAGGAATGTGCACCCAAGAAAGAGCAAGGGAAAGATCAAGGTTTGGCATAAACGTGGAGGTTCATGGAGATGAAAATCAGCCCAGGACTACAGTGTTTTAAATCATGTCTGTAAGGTCAGAATGGGCCCGCAGGTCTCCAAAGACCAACACATGCCTGGGTTGGAACTCAAGTCAGTAGCCAGTGTAGTAATCCTGAGTCCATCCCCTGGACGGCAGCTTGTTTATGGTTAACAGTGAGCTGAAGCCACGTAGGTGGGTGTGGGGAAATTGGCGATGTCTGTTCACTAGCGGGGGGTCCTACAACAAGTGGCTGCAGGCAGGGTCCCCATTGTAGTTGGAGAACCTCAGAGCCCTAGTTAATTATTCTTTCCTCTAGGCCACTATGTAGTACAAAGAACAAAATACTCTGTTAATTTATTTTTTTCATTTAAAAATAGTATTGAAATGTTTCATACCTGGGATACCTGGGTGGCACAGCGGTTTGGCGCCTGCCTTTGGCCCAAGGCGTGATCCTGGAGACCCGGGATCGAATCCCACGTCGGGCTCCCGGTGCATGGAGCCTGCTTCTCCCTCTGCCTGTGTCTCTGCCTCTCTCTCTCTCTCTCTGTGTGTGTGTGTGTGTGACTATCATAAATAAATAAAAATTAAAAAAAAAAAAGAAATGTTTCATACCCAGCAGTATGGGAAATGAGTTGTTTCATGGATAAAGTTCACCTGGTAAGTGTTGGAACTTTATTTTTACGATATTGGATGGAAGTACTCTCAGTTATGTTGCCATGGGCCTCACTTTATTAAAAGGATTGCACTGTACATCATTCTGCGTCCTTCTGGTGAGCCAGAGACCTATGGATATGTGTGCCAGTCCACCTGTATGCTGCATGGCCCTCGATTACTGCTGGTTACATGAGGAGAAAACAAAGAAAATGGATTTTGTTCAAGGAACACTTTTATCTATACTTGTAAGTTACTAGAATGTGGTTGGCGGTAGTGCGAGGCCTTTGCCTGGCCTGTGACAGTCATAGGCCTCATCCCTCAGAGGGGATTTTCACTCCTCTTCTCAGCTATGCTCCTTCTCTTTGAACTAACAGAAGCCTCACTGGAAAAATGGGGGAATTGGTGCACTTTTGTAACTTTGACCCCTCGAGAGTAATGGTCATGTCTTTAGCTCCCTAGGGAATATTTATAGGAAAGATTTTCACGTAATATTTTGCTGTATTTGCAAGACTCTCTAATGATGGTCCAAGAATCATTTTTTTCCCCTGATGTGGTTATAAGAACTCTTTCTCACCACCCTCCCTGGCCATCGCCTCTAGAGATCACTTGCTGGCTGGGAATAACCTGCCCTCTTTCTCCTTTCTCTCCTTCACCATGTGGGTTGCCATGTTGTTGCTAATGACCTGGATGAGGGCATCTTCTCCTTAAGTGGTGAGCTCCTTCTCTCCATCCCTGCCCAGAGAAGCCAGACCAGGGTCACAAACTCTGGTGTTTACAGAGGCCAGGCCGCTGACCTACTAAGTGAAGCCATTCAGGTAGAACAGTGGGGAAGCTCTAGAAACCAGAGAGCGAGGGACGCCCGGGTGGCTCAGCAGTTGAGCGCCTGCCTGCCTTTGGCCCAGGGTGTGATCCTGGAGACCCAGGATCGAGTCCCACATCAGGCTCCCTGCATGGAGCCTACTTCTCTCTCTGCCTCTCTCTCTCTCTCTCTCTCTGTCTCTCATGAATAAATAAATAAAATCTTTTTTTTTTTTTAAAGAAAGAAACCAGAGAGCACCTTTGAGTGAGGCCTCTATTTCATGTTCCAGCCATTTTTTTTTTAAGGTTTGTTTTTTTTTTTAAGATTTTATTTATTCATGATAGTCACACAGAGAGAGACAGAGAGGCAGAGACACAGGCAGAGGGAGAAGCAGGCTCCATGCAGGGAGCCTGACGTGGGAGTCGATCCTGGGTCTCCAGGATCACATCCCGGGCCAAAGGCAGGCGCCAAACCGCTGCGCCACCCAGGGATCCCTGTTCCAGCCATTTGTTACCAGATGGAGTGTAGGCACGGAGTTGTCAGAGCTGTGATTTTTCAAGAAGAATTTTTTAAAAACCACTGAGTCTTATGTGATATTTCCTGATTTTAAAAACTTTGTGTGGGCTGCAAATTGTTGTAGCCTTCCAATATTTAATCCTGCCCTCATCCAGACCATGGCTGGTGGTGGGGGACAGGGCCAAAGGCCCAGATGGCTGCTCCCACAGCAGACCCCTTCACGATGGTCCGAGGGAGATCAGAAATTTTGCTGTTTGTGTGGCTGGAGCAGAAAGGGTGTGTGTTGAGGGGAAGCTGAGGCAGAGCTAAGGCAGTGTCAAAGATTGTAGTATTGATCTTTGAAGTTGCAATTTGGAATGTTTTCTCATGGAAGTAATGCACAAATGGAGCATAGGTTCAACATTATCATAGCTATCATTCCATCACCTAACCTCCTTCATTAAATAGGTTTTAAAGGTTTGATATTTAATAGCTATTTGTAACATTTTGATTTTGGGGAAGAAGTGTTTCTAAGTTCTAAAGATCTACACTAAAAATAATCTTTTAGGTATCTTTTTGAAGGCTGTTTATGTATGTTTGATACTCTATCTAGCAAGGTGTATCATATAGGATTTTTTAGAAATTATCAACAGTAATGAAGAATGAAATATGAGGCTCCCCCCTCCCAATCTGCTTTCTAACTTTCTCCCATTCCATTTTGAGATTTAAATGCCTCAAATACTCTAGCGGAATTGTATTATTATTCTTGGATTGAACAGTCGTTGTCTCTTTGAGGGTTTTCGGGTCATTAAGGAATTCTGTAGGAGCACAGTGAAGAGAGTGTTTTCAGAAAGGCTCATTAAAAAAGGAGAAGCTGAGCTGGAAAGCCACTAATGTTAAATGCTATAAATTGGTATAAAAGGTAAAATAGAATCAGCATATCACACTCCTTAGTTTCCAGGAATTAAATTGGGATTATGTTTGGTCCTTGATAAAAGACTAGCAAGACATGGTATCCATTTGTTTTCTCATATGAAAAATCCTTAACTCTTTCCTAACAGGTGGGAACTTGGTTTTTGGCTAAAGCAAAAAGCTAAAGCATCTATTGGTACATATCTGCACCGTAACAGTGGAGTTTCCAATAGGAAATTGCTCTGCAATTAATATGAATGTGGACATATCATATAATCTTCCTAAGCCCCAGTTAACTTACCTGTGAAATGGGTGTAAACAGGCTGGATTTGAGTATTACATGAGACAATATGTAGATCGGTATCACGGTATCTAGCACACAGATAACCTTTAATATATAGTTGTTATTATTGGTATTACTATCATTTGTTTGGATTAGAGCCTTCTAGGCCATTGTGGAACTCAAACTTTTGTTGTTAATTTTTTGTCTTACATCTTCTGTTACATTGCTGATATTTTCATTGATGCTAATAGTTCACATACCATAAAATTCACCCAATTAGTAGTAAACTCATAGAGGTGTGCAAACATCACCATAATCTAAATTGAAAACATTTTCATCACCCCCAAAAGAAACCTCATTCCTCTTAGCACTCACCATTCCTCATACCCCCTCAGCTCCCTACAGCCCTAGGCATCTTTTGAGTATCTTTTCATGAGCTTATTGTCCATTTGTGTATCTTCTTTGGAGAAATGTCTATTCAGATTCTTTTACCATCTTGTAATTGCGTTGCCTCTTGTTATTTGGTTGTGAGAGTTCTTCAGATATACTGGATACAGTCCCTTGTCAGAGAAATGATTTACAGATATTTTCAAGCTATCTGTGGGTTGCATCGATAGTACTTTTATTAACTGATCCATCTGGACTTATGTCTCTATATTTAATAATTCCATACCCTCTTAACTGATTTCCACAAACTCTCTTTCCAGCCTCTATTTCTCTACCTTGCTCTTCAGTCTGTCCACGAGCCTCTCCAGGTCCCCGAGGAATACCTGAAACCCTACGACTTTATCCACGATAAGAACAGGCGTTACTATGCAGGAATGGTGTCTCTCATGGATGAAGCAGTGGGAAATGTCACGGCAGCCTTAAAAAGCCACGGGCTCTGGAACAACACGGTGTTCATCTTCTCCACGGGTAAGTCTGTCGATAGGAAAATCATCTCTTGGCAAAGCCTAGGACGTGGTATTCGATAAATGGAATGAAGACAAATTGGAGCATTTAGCAGCTCCTTATTAAAATAAATGTTAACTGTGCGAGTGGAGACAAGATAATAATGGATAGAAAAATGTGTCTAAGGAAAAGCATTATGGGCCTTCCCCCTCTTCCTTCAGACAGCAACATACTCTGGCAGGAAGCTCTCCCCACCTGAGTAAGTGTGAGCAGACATCACTGCTATGCAGGGCCGTGGGCATCACTGGAGTGGCCTGTTCCCGGTGGTCTGCGGCCCAGGTACCCTCTGTGACTAGGACTTCCGCTGCCTAGAGGGTTCCATCTCAGTGTAGAGGCAGATCATGGCATTAAGAAGACAGATGAGAAATGGAGCCATTTAAATCTAGGCTAGAGTCGCCACATATCGATTTTTTTGTATTCAGATTGTTTTCTGACAATAAAATTCATACATGTCGATTAGAGAAAAAAAAAACAGAAAAAGAGGATGAAAAAAAAGTGTTTGAAAATAGTTTTCATTATGGCAGTGCCCTTCTGATTCTGCATCTGGTATACCACAATTTTTTTTCCCCTCTCATTAGACAGAGTTTTCTAAGATTTCCCTATGATGTGCTATGGGCGTAGGTCTTGGTTTACTCTTTATGCAGAGTATTCAGAGAGCACTTTGTATCTAAAAATGAAGATGATTTTTTTAATGGGAAGTTTTCTTGTATTATTTATTTCAGAATTGTTTGACCATCCTACCTTTCTCCTCTTCTCTCTTTACGAAACTTCTCTTACTTGGATAGTGGATCATCCTCTAATTTCCTTAGTTTTTTTTCTCTCCTATTTACTTTTCTTCTGCTATTTGGGAAATTTCCTTGTCATTATTTTGTAACCTTTTCTATTAAATTCAGTGCAACTACTATATTTTTTAATTATCAAGAACTCTTATTTTCTGATAATTCCTTTTTTATAAAGTTCTGTTTTTACTTTTTATGTAATGATTTCTTTCTCCAAAGCCTGTCCTCTTAGCTATTAATTTTATGTTGGTATGAGTATGTTTGTAGCTATGTATATACGCCTATGTATACTTGTATGTGTATATGTATATGCGAACCCATACATATATTTTTAAGTTTACTTGTACTTCCAACATTGCCTCTCTTCCTTCTAAGGTCATTTTTGTCTTCTTTGGCCTGTCTTTCATGAAAAAGACTTTCTCAAATCCCTGGTGATTCTTGGCTAAAACCTAAAAATTTGATTGCAAACTTCAAGGGTGAGGGTGACTTGTCTTCTGGTGAATTTTACTGTCAAGTGACTACGCGAGGCATGTGCGATGACATGTTGCGGAATTAATTTGGGTATTCTACTGATAATTGGTTTGTTTTTTTAAGAGTAGTTTTGTTTTTGCTTTTAATTAGGCATTGCTATTGAATCTAGCATTTAATGAGCATTTGCTCTGTGTAGGACAGAGTTCACAGTGCTTCACATGACTTAGCTCAGTTCATTCTCACAATAATTATCTGGGGACAACTATTATCCCATTGTGCAGTTGTAAGAACTGAAGCACAAAGAGGCTAAGTATTCTGCGCAAGGCCACACAGCTGGGCAGAGCCAGGCAGCAACCTTTCTGATTCCACCGCAGCTTCCTGAGATGATGCCAATGACGACCTGGATGTTCTTATTGGACCTCATCGCATAGCGGCCCTTTCCCCGTAGTTGGCTGCCATATTGATCTCCTGGGGAGCCTAAGCATGGCCCAGAGAGGCATTCATCCTGAGCAGTCAGTGTCGTTCAGTTGCTTTAGTACTGTGCAAATACTCCAATTTTCTAAGTATGCCCTCATGCGAAATGGATTGAATGTAAGATAACATGTATCCTCCCCTTCAACTCCCCAAACTCACCGTCTTCCAAAAAAAATGGAGATTTCTTATACTTGAGTCCTTACGAGATCTCTCATATTCTGAGAGTCTTCTCAATTTACTTGATTTTGAACAGCCTGGTAAAGCACTTTAATCAGGTCTGGAATTGAACGCTTATAGAGGTCGCTAGAAAGAATCAATAAAAAAAGAGACCAAGACCTTTAATACTGAGTTAGTAATTATTCCTGGGAAATGATCTCACAGTTGCAAGAATTGAAAGTTATAAGTTTATTTTTATTTTAATTTATGATAGTCACAGAGACAGAGAGGCAGAGACACAGGCAGAGGGAGAAGCAGGCTCCATGCATCGGGAGCCTGACGTGGGATTCGATCCCGGGTCTCCAGGATCCGGCCCTGGGCCAAAGGCAGGCGCCAAACCACTGCGCCACCCAGGGATCCCTGAAAGTAGTAAGTTTATAAAGCAAGCCTTTGTGGTAGAGATCAGAATTATGCAATTTGAGGATAAATGATTTCCTGAAATGAAAATATATGTGGATCAATGTATCATGTGTAGACTGAAAAGTGCTCAGACAAAAGTGAAGATGGTACCTCTGGAAAACTGTTACATAGCTCAACGTGGCTCCTGTAACGATGGTTATTGCTTATCAAGTATGCATGGGAAGAGGTGGAAGAACATTTTTTCTGGATATGTGAGAGTTGGGAAAAAGCAATATTCTAAGATCTTTTATTATATGATTTCAAATGCGTTTGCATAACCATATTTTAAATAGTTGACTGTTTCATAAACATCCCTAATGTATTATTTATTCAAGTATTCAAGTTGTCAAAAATAATTTTGGAAGCTTTGCATTGAGATAATGGGGATTACCTTATAATAAGGCTGTTTTATATTCTTGCACTATGATATATTAATGGGTACATTAATCTGGGACTGTCTTTCCTTTGTGGGCTAAATCCAATTTGATCATGTGTACATATTTTTATTATACTGCTGAGTTCAGTTAGCTAGGGTTCTATTTAGGATTTTTACGTCAATTCAGAAGTGAAAGTGGGGTTGGTGGCTTCTTTTCTCCCTGTCAGGTCTGTTATCTTGGTTATGTTCACTTCATAAAATAGTTTGGATGAATTTCCTTCTTTTATGCTCTGGAACAGTTTACAGATTTCTTGAAAGATCTCTCTGGTTGAGCTGGTCCCTGGAACCGTTTTTGGAGGATTTTTTTTTTTTTTTAATCTCCATAGTTTAGATCTTTTGCTGAGTTATATCTAGGGGTAGGTCTTTAAAATATTTAAAATTAATTTTGCCTGAAATATATGGGCCCTTTGATCTGTGTGCTAAGATTAGTTTTCACTCTGGAAGTTTTCCTTGTACATATTTTAGCTTATTGCTTTAGTTCTGCTCTATTTATTTCTCAAAAATAGCTTTAATTAATAGGTTGAATCACTGATTCAGCTTTTCTCTCATTATTTTCAGTTTTCTGTCCTTTTTCTCAGTCTTCTGAATCCCTCTGCATTACCAGTTAGACATTTTTGCAACTTGGCTTCTGTTCTTTAGGATCTCTGATATCGATTATTATTGATTGTATTTTTAGTTTCTTGTAATCTTTCCTTTGCCTCAATCAGTTCCTTTTTCTTCTAAGCTTGTTAGTATTAATAATAATAATAATAAACGACAATAATAATCATGACTACTGTTTATTAAGTATTTACTGCATGCCCAGGCCTTATACTAGAGCCTTCTCTGTATTTTCTCATTATTGGGCAAGTTGTTAGCATTAAAGCTCAAAGTGACCTTGTGAAATAGGTTTCTTTATCCTCATTTTATAAGTGAAGAAACCAGAACTTAAAGAGGGTAAGTGAGTTGCCCAAGGCTGCTCTTAGGTCTACAAATGTCCATCTAGAATTCACATGTGGTAGTTAGAAAGTGGCCTTTGGGTGGTGACTAGGGTATGAGGGTGGAGCCCTCGTGAATGAGATTCGTGCTTTACTAAAAGTCACCACAGATAGATCCTTCCATGTAAAGACACAGCAAGAGGATACCAGCTGTGAACCAGCAGAAAGGCCCTCACCAGAAGGTGACTATAAGGGTGCCTTGGTCTTGGTCTTTCCTGCTTCCAGAACTGAGAGAGAAATTTCTGTTGTTTATAAGCCCCCCAGTCGGTGGTATTTTGTTGTAGCAGCCCGAATGGACTGACAAATGGAAGAGCCAGAGTTTAACTGCAGATCTATTTGAGGTCAGTACCTAATAGCCATAATCAACTGGGCCTTTGCATCTCATCTTTTCCTTTTAAGCTCATCCCATTGCCCCTTATCTCTGCTGTTGGCTTTCTACATTTCTGTTCACAGAACCTATGTTTCTCCTGAATCTTTCTGAATAGACCTTTGCTAAAATCTTCCTTTTCACTATAAATCATTATTAGCCACATATTTTTCCTCTGAGTATGAGCATTGATGAATCTGTCCACATAGAGTACATGGCCATCTCTTGGCTTCTGATCACTGTTCTGGTTAATTCCTTCTCATACCTGTAGTTTGAGGTCAGGTTAAGGTGCACAGCTTCCTCAGTTCTCAGTGGCCTTAGGCATTGAGGGTTCTACACTCCAGTGAATCTGATTGACGTATTTGACATTTTTTTTTCTTTTGGCTAGCTGGATCTTGGACACGCTGAAAGAATCCCAGCATGCAAGGCTACCAGGCTCTTCCAATCTCCATACCTTCAAGGCTTTACTTCAGGGGCATTTCCCAGGATACAGTGTGCCCCACTGTCAGACCCTTTTCTTTTCCTACTCATTATTTTCTGGGAGATGTGATCTCTAACTGCATATAGAAAGAGGAGAAGGTAATCATTTTCTGGTCATGTCAGAAATTAGCACTGTCCCCTCCCAGGCTGCCTTCCTGCCTCTTTTCAGGTAGGAGGGGTGGCTCTGTGTCATGAGGCAATGGGGTTTTGCTAGCCCTTGTTTCTTTAGCTCAGCATCTTTGGCCTTACTGCTGATGGAAATTTCTCCAAGATTCTCTTGGGTTTTACAGGTTGTCATTCAGTCCTGGTTTCTCACATTGTGATGAGTTTTCATCTTATTCTAACGCATCACAGCACAATATTAT